AACGTGCATAAAAACAAGACAGCAAAACCAAGCAACAAAAGAAAATGTCCGTACTTTTAATCCGAGTTTCCAGGAACTCCTGGAACCCTCTCGCCGTCCTTGCTGCCACCATCCCTGCCTTTCCCTTCCTCCAGAGGAGCCCTGGGGCTTAGGAGCGGGTTGCTAACCACGTGGTCGGAAGTTTGAAACCACCAGCTGTTCCACGGGAGAAAGGCGAGGCCTTCTACTCCCGTAAAGAAGCACAGTCTCGGAAAACCACGGGGCCGTGCCACCCTGTCCCGTGGACTCGGTGGCAGAGAGTGAGTGATTCTGTGGTGTCTGTACTCAGACAGAGACGGGGACTTCAGACAGTGTCCTGAGAGAGGGTCTGCTTGACCAGGGAGACAGTGCTCTCCCTGCCCCACCCCACCGGCTTTCACCTGAATGCCCCGCCGTGTGTGTGTGGAGGGGTGACCACATGGCACACTCCACACCTGCTCTGAGGGGGCATCTGTGAGCCAGCACAGTGCGTGGTAGCCCTTACTTATTAGCTTATTCGGGAAGCTAACACCTTATGATTCAAGATCAGGAACAACTCTGGATATAGTTCTTTGTTTAGGACAACTTCTTGGCTACCCTCTCTGGGTCTTGTGGCCACCGTCCTTGGGTGGCTGATGCTCTGGGGCCTGGGAACCACTCTCGTGTCTCTGTTGTTCCTCATCTGACCAGGCTGTGTGTGTGCAGGCAGCAGGCCCCCAGTGCTTTCTCTTGGGTGGTCGGGGCCCTCCTTTTCTCTGATCTTTCTCTCCGAGGGGATCCCCAAAACCAGACAGAGGCAGCTTCGATGCCCTCTCACGGTGCCCCCGTGTGAGTCAGAGGTAGAGCTGCACTCCACCGCATGTGCAGTGGCTGGCTTTGTTTGCAGAAGTAGATTTCTAGCCAAGCTTTTCTCGTGAGACACCTCTGGGTGGACTTGAACCACTGGCATTTCAGTTCGTAGCCCAGGCGCTTAAACATCTGTGCCACCCAGGTTCTTCTGTCCGATATAAATCCAGTCGCTGTGGAGCCGCCTGCCACGCATGGCTCCCGTGTGGGCCAGCGTGGAACCAGGCTCCTTGGAGTGCTCGGGCTGGTTCCTTTGGAAGTAGGTCTCCAGGCATTTCTTCCGAGGTACTGCTGGGTGGGGTCAGCCTGCAGCCGTTGATCACAGCCCAGTGTGTTCCCTGTGCCCCACCCATGGGTTACTGCTAGAGGCTTCTGATGGGAAAATGTTTTACTATGTCCAGCCACGTCACCCAACGTGGTCTTGCGTGAATACGACTCTCATTAACGATTGTGGGTCTCCTCGGGGCTCAGAACAGACAATTCTTAAAAACCATTTTACTTTGAACGGGAGAAGGTATACAGAGCAAACCCGTTCTCCACGCCTCAACTCACACACCTGGTGTTCCCTGTCCTCGACAGCCCCCTGCGACACGGCATCAGCCCTCCTGAGTCCTCCCTGTGGCTCCTGACTCCATCACCCAAGCCCCCCAGGCTAACCCCGTTAACCTGGGCCGTGGGCACACACACGCTCCCTCTGGAGTCTGAAAGGGTTGATGATTGGAAGGTGTCTGTCTGCCTCATCGCTGTTACCCTTCACCAGACAGAAGCGCCCACCGTTAGCTCAGTGCTGAGCCGCAGGCTGAGACCATTTCCGGGACAGGAAGGTGTCTAAGGCTTCAGGCTGGGGCCCCGTCACCTGCAGCCTGGCCGCAGGCCGCTCGGCAGAAGTAGCAGTCACTCTGGTGGTACCAGGACAGTGAAAGACCGTGTCGGCTGCCTGCATGTTAATGTATGGTGGAAGACACGGATTCTGTGTGTCCCCGTGCTATTGTGGTAAAAACAGATCTCCCCTGAAATTGCCCTTTTAGCCAACCCTTCGGTGGCAGTGTTCCACTCACCATGTCATCTACCCAGCACCCTTGTCTAGCTCCACAACCTTTCACCCCCACACGTCGAGGCCCAGGGTCCCTAAGCAGTACTTAACGCCACTACCCGTCCGCACCACTGCCACTCTCAGCGCTTGGCCAGCACGGGTCCGCCTTGGTCTGTGTGCATCACCTGTGTGGGGTTGTGCAGTCTCGAACCCTCTGGGGTTGACTTATGCCATGCACTATATAGAGTGTATGTTTCCAAGGAGCCCTGCTGGGCTGCTAACCCCAAGGTCAGCAGTTTGAAACCACCAGATGCTCCTCAGGAGAAAGATGAGGCTTTCTACTCCCGTAATGCTCTGCAGTCTCAGAAAACCCACAGCTGGCGGTTCTGCTCCGGCCTGTAGTGTCACTGTGAGTCAAACTTCTTGGCAGTGAGGGCGTGACCTGATGTGGCATTTCCAGCTGGCCTGGAGGCAGGTGCCTGCGAGGAGGGGCCGCCCTGTCCACAGAGTGTCAGCTGTCTGCCTGTGGTGGCAGCAGCGTGGGGGCCGGGGGGAGCCACGGTGGGACTCTGACTCCTCTCCCCTGTCCCCCTCCTCACAGGCCCGTGAAGTGTAGCTGCTGCCTTGCGCGCCCCATCTACGTCGCCCTCGACAGCCAGCATGTCAGCCACTGGACTCGGAGGCCGGCGCGTGCGCACACTGGGCCTGGCGTGCCATGGACCCCTCTCCCGGCAGGCGCGGTTCTCCCCGGACCCTGGGCCCTCCCGGTGCGGGGCTGGCACTCGTCCCAGCCCCGGTGGGACGACTCCCTGGTGGAGAAGTCCCTCAAGTCCCTGAAGGACAAGAACAAGAAGCTGGAGGAGGGCGGCCCTGTGTACAGCCCCCCCGCGCCCGCAGCCGTGAAAAAGTCCCTCGGGCAGCGGGTGCTGGACGAGCTAAAGCACTACTACCACGGCTTCCGCCTGCTGTGGATCGACACCAAGATCGCCGCGCGCATGCTCTGGCGCATCCTGCACGGGCACACGCTCACGCGCCGAGAGCGCAGGCAGGTGAGGGTGGGCCCGGGCCAGTGACGCCGTGACCTTCCCACGGCCCCCCCCTCGGGCCATCGGCGCACACCGAGCTTGCTTTTGGCTCGGGCGCTGGCCCTGGAGCAGGCTGGTTATCTTAGCGACCCGAGAGCTTGACCTTTTCCTGTAAGAGCACCGCCCTCAAAGTAGGCGTGCCTGCGGGCTGTCAGGGCTTCTGGCTGGGCAGGTGTGGCGCCACCTCGCTCTGCCCTCCTCTCTCTGAGAATATTGTCCGTCCCCCGCCCCGCTGCCTCCCGCTGCCCTGGGGCAGTTTGCATCCTGGAGTGGTCCCCCGAGGAGCCTCTGTGCGCTTTGGGATAAGCGATGGGTCGCTGACCACACAGTCAGTGGTGCAAACCCGCCAGCGGCTCCGCAGGGGAGAGAGGCACTGTCTGTGCCCACAGAGCTTGATAACCTTGGGGACCCTGCGTGAGCTCCCTGTGAGTCAGAATCGACTTCGAGGCTGTGGGTTTCTGTGGAAGTGTTGAGTGGTGTAGCCAGTGACAAGTGACACCCTTGAGCTCACGCTCCCAGGTGGGTGGTTCAGACCTCCGGAAGACAAGCCTGCCGAGCCTGGAGTGAGTGAAAGGTGTGCCTCTAGGGTCCTTCTTCCTCCTCCACTCTGTATGCTCATTTCCAAAACGTTACTGTATCTCCTTGTCGCTGTGGTAGGGAAGACACACAGCAAACCATGGCACATTTGCCCCTGACTCTGCCCTGGGAGCTGAGCGGCCTTCCTCCGCTCCCCTCTCCGGGTTGCTACTTACCCAGAAACAGAAACTCACTGCCTCTTCGGCGCCTGACTCCTGAGTGGCTGTTGTCCATTTGATCCCCCGTTGGGAGTTCTTCAAAGAGCCCCGTGCTCAAGGCAGACCTTCCGTTCCTAGTTTAAGCTTCACGGTACTGTTGGCCCCTGAAGGCGACGTCAGAGGTTGCTTTTGGTTTACGGTTTGAAGATGATCTCAGGGCAGTAGTTTCAGGGGTTCACCCAGCCTCTTTGGTTCTAGAAAGTCTGAAGTCCCAGAGATTTTGAAGTTCTGTCCTGCTTTTCGCCCCCCCTTTCGATCAGGACCCTGGGCTGCCATAGACTCTTGGCTCAGACTGCTCAATAGCATGCATGTGATGGGTGCGCTCAGGAACATTTGGCCTGGTGCGTTGGGCTGCTTAAGACCAGTGGCCTAGTGGCTGGTCAAGGCCACTTTCACACTCTGGGTGCCACCGCACAGGGGTCGGGTCCCTGACGGCTCACGTGGCCTGCTCCTCCGGCCTCCTGGCTTTGTTGTCGGTGAGGGCTTCCACTGACGGTCGGGATCTGAGAGAACGAGTGTCATGCCAGTGGGCCACAGAGGGCCGGCGGGCAGGCGGCCGAAGCCTTGGTTATGCCTGGCTGACTGTCCTGCTCCCGGGGCAGGCACTCTGCCCAGGAAACAATGTGCAGACTTCCAGCCCCTCGGATTCTGTCTGCAAGTCACTGACAGCTGCGTCTGTAAGCGCGGCTGTTCTTGCAGCTTCCTGTCCTTAGCTTGTTCCCAGAGGCTGCGTGGCAGCGTCAGACCCTCCCGAGTCCTAAGGAGGGCACCAAGATGCCCCGCCGCTCCTGGCCCGGCACCCACCGTGCAGACCTGCTGTGCTGCGCCCAGCTTGGAGAGCAGGAACAGAGTCATGAGGTCTGGCGAGCCCCGTTCCACATGACAGCAGCTGTTGTCTGGTGCCGTGGCCAGGCTGGTTCCCGAGGATGGCTGAGCACAGGGCGTGGGCTTCGTGGCTCTGTTCCCACAGACTCGGTGTCATTTCTGTATCTCTCCACCACCCTGTTTTTCCCTTAGATGTTTTTGGGCGATTTGGGTGAAAGTGTCCAGAGCTGATGGGTTTGCCGTTCAGCGATCTGCGTGTTAGCTTGGTGACATTGGGTGCTGTCCCCCCAGTGTGACAGACCTCTTCCCACTTCTTCCTGTGCTCTCCTGGGCCAGCGCTGCCCGAGGAGTTGAAAGTCAGAGTTGTCCTGATCACATGTGTTGGACGTCGACTTTGAAGGCAGATTGTAGCCGAAGGAGCCCTGTAGTCGTGCTGCTAACCACAAGGTCAGCCGTTTGAACCCACTAGCCGCTCCTCAGAGAAAGATGAGGTCTTCTGATCCCATAAAGACTCACAGCCTCGAAACCCACAAGGGCAGTGCTACCCTGCCCCGCAGTGTCACTGTGCATCGGAATAGACTCAGTGGCAGTGAGGTTTATTTGGAGTGGATGGCTTAAATAGTGACACTGCATTACTCCCTGGTGCTGCACTCCCTCCTGTGTTCTGGGCTCTGCCCTAGGCTCGGCGCCCTGTGTCTGGGCTGTGTTCTGGCTGTGTTCTGGGCTCTGTGTTCCGAGCTCTTTGATCTGCTCTGTTTTCCAGCTCTGGGCTCAGTGCTCTGTGTGGGCTCTGTTCTGGGATCTGTGTTCCAGGCTCTCTGTTCCGGGCTGTGTTCCAGGCTCTGTGTTCTGTGTTCCGGGCTCTCTGTTCCGGGCTGTGTTCCAGCTCTGTGTTTTGTGCTCTATGCTTTACGCTCTGTTCTGTGCTTTGTGCTCTGAGCTCTTTTCTGTGCTTTGTGTTCTGTGTTCTGGGCTCTGTTCCAGACTCTTGTGTTCTGGGCTCAGTGCTCATATATTCTGTGTTCTGGGCTTTGTGTTCCAGGCTCTGTGTTCTGAGCTGTTTTCTATGCTCTGTGTTCTGGGCTCAGTGCTCTGTGTGGGCTCTGTGTTCTGGGCTCTGGGCTCTGAGCTCTTTGCTATGCTTTATGTTCTGTGCTCTGTATTCTGGGCTCTACACTCTGTTCCGGGCTCTGGGCTCTCTGTTCTGTGTTCTGGGCTCTCTGTTCCGGGCTCTGGGCTCTGTGTTCTGTGTTCTGGGCTCTCTGTTCCGGGCTCTGGGCTCTGTGCTCTGTGTTCTGGGCTCTCTGTTCTGGGCTCTGGGCTCTGTGTTCTGTGTTCTGGGCTCTCTGCTCTGTGTTCTGTGTTCTGAGCTCTTTGCTATGCTCTCTGTTCCGGGCTCTGTGTTCTGGGCTCAGTGCTCTGTGTGGGCTCTGTGTTCCAGGCTCTGTGTTCTGAGCTGTTTTCTATGTTCTGTGTTCTGGGCTCAGTGCTCTGTGTGGGCTCTGTTCTGGGCTCTGTGTTCTGAGCTCTTTGCTGGCTCTCTGTTCCGGGTTCTGTTGAGAGATCAGGTTAAGACACAGCACACAGCTCCTCCACTGGATGCACACAGGGCAGTGGGTAGCGGTGTGGTCACAGAGTGTGACGCTGTACCTGCTGCTGCCCCTTGTAGAACGAACGGTTCCCTCACCCTATTGACAGGCCCCGCCCCCCCTTAGCTGTCATCCCCGACTTTGCTCTAGTGAGGGTCGGTGCTTTTGCGGCTCTGCCCTCTGGGGTCCTGGTTTGCTGTAAGTCACTCCTGACCCACAGCGACCGTGCCGCACAGGGGAGGGCTGTCCCTGTGGGTTTCTGAAGTAGTAGAGCTTCACAGCAGCACCAGCCGCATCTTTCTCCCTCAGAACAGCTAGTGGGTTCAAACCGCTGTCCCTGTGGTCTGCTGCGCCACTGGAACCCCCTCCTGTGGGGCTCCACTGTAGAGAACCAAGCTGCCTGCGGCTGCACCCCTGCCCTGGCCTGACCTCTGGGCCCGGAGACCGTGGTAGCTCCTGTCTTTCCTACAGGGCCTCGGTTTAGTGACGCTGCTCAAATGTCCTGGGTGCCAGTCTCCTTGCTACGCACTCTTGGGTGGGCACCCTCACCACCCTTGACCCGGTCCTGCCGCCTGGTTGCCTGCCACCGCACCCCACGGGGCAGGCCTGAGTTCCTGTCTGGTTGTCTCCACCCAGCATGACCCCGTGGCAGGGCCTCTACAAATCCTCCGGGAAGGTGACCGTGAGTGGTCACCCACGTGTCTCTTTTGCCCCAAGGACAGGGTTGTGCCAAGTGGTGGGATTCAGATTATGTAACAGCGGATCGAACACGGTCTGAATGACTGTTTTAAGTATTAAAAAAATAACAGCCCGAAAGGTAGCTTATTATTTCAACACAATACCAGAAACCCCTGTTGCACAGATGAACGTTCAAAAGATTCAACTCCAAGCTCGCTGCTGTGGGGTCAACTCAGACACGTTCCCCCGGCACCCCCACCCCGTGGGTTTCCAAGACTAACAGTTTTCGGGAGTAGAAACCCCAGTCTCTCCTGCAGAGCTGCTGGTGGCTTTGAACTGCTGACCCTGTCACTCTCGGCCCAGTGGATAACCACTCCCCCACCAAGACTCCTCTAAAAAGATGGAGTGTAGATCATGATTTCCACGTGGGGTGGCTCTCTCAGAACCCTGAGGACAAGCGCCATGGTAGCCAGCGGTTTGGTGAACTCAGCACAAAATTAGGTCCTGGTTTTGCCCAACCAGTGCGAGCCGGCTGAATCCCACCCCCTGGTGATGCTCCTCTTTCCCGAGCATTCCATGGAGGTGCCGAGGTGGGGGTGAGCGGGCGTGGGCGGGCGGCACAGGCC